AACCTCACAGAATGGCCCCTCGACAGCGTAAGCAAGCGTTTCACTTTTTTTCCACTTTTCAAACAAGCTACCTGCTCTCCCGCTTTGACCCCTTTTTGTTTTTGCTGCTGACTCTCTTTTTTCTTCCCTTTTTCAACCCCTTTCTCCCTAACACCTTTCACCNTGCCAGCACTTTTCCACCTGTTTTTCCACTTTTCAAACAAGCTACCTGCTCTCCCGTTTTGACCCCTTTTTGTTTTTGCTGCTTACTCTTTTTTTCTCCCCTTTTCAACCCCTTTCTCCCTAACTTTCATTTTTCACACCCCCCCCTCCCCTCTTATTCATCTCCCAGAATCACCTGGAAATAAAACTGACCGCGACATGGAGGCCTTCCTCGTTGCCCAGGAGGAGCAACGGGCCGGGCAGAGGAATGGAGATGGTCGTGGAGATCTGCAGGCGATGCGGCTGCTTGCCATTCGACAGGCCGAGGAGGAAGGTCGCCGTCTGCGGCGTATTCTCCGGGAGCGACAGCTGATGGTGGAGGACCAACGCCGTCAGCTGCGACAGGCGCTAGAGGAGCGACGAGCCGAGGAGGAGGAGCAGCGCCGTCGACTGCTGCTGCGAGAAACGGAAGCGGAAGCGGAAGCCGAAGAGCGACGACGCCGGACTGAACAAGAGGAAGAGGAGGAGGAGGGGCACCACGAGGGCNCCGAGGAGGAAGGTCGCCGTCTGCGGCGTATTCTCCGGGAGCGACAGCTGATGGTGGAGGACCAACGCCGTCAGCTGCGACAGGCGCTAGAGGAGCGACGAGCCGAGGAGGAGGAGCAGCGCCGTCGACTGCTGCTGCGAGAAGCGGAAGCGGAAGCCGAAGCCGAAGAGCGATGACTCCGGACTGAACAAGAGGAAGAGGAGGAGAGGCACCACGAGGGCTAAAGGCCGATCACCACCACCACCGGCTACCATGTACAGTCCAATCTTCTCTCACTGTTTTTTGTCATCATAATAAAAGAAAGTCCTTGCAATTGATTATTAGTGTGGTGGCAGAGACCTTTACTGATGAGGACGATTTGTGGTGGGCGAATACATAGTTATGAGATGAGGGGAACAACCGTGATGGGGGGCTGACTCGTGACCAGTGGCAGACTGAGAGCCGACTGGTGAAGTGTGTCTACATGAGGCCTGCTTATGTAGGAGAGAGAGACTGGTGAGATAGAGGGTGACACGTACAGGTCAGGGTGAGTAAGGGTGAACTGTGTGTACTGATTGACTATGATGTGTTGGTGCAGTGCAGATGGCATTAGTATTGAACAAAATACCCCCTCTAATTGGCGCCGATGGCAGGGCTCTCCGATTTGGCAAGCAAGTTGAAGCAGTCTGCGTCTGCAAACCTGAATGATCTAGATGATCAGAACAGATCAGAAGTCAGAACTCAACTCAAAAGTAAGTCGCCCGCCAAAATATACTGCACACATACAGTGCTGTAGTGCTTTGGTGCGTCAGTAGTAGGTTTGCACACTTGGCTGGTAGATGGGGGCACTGTCTGTGAGCGAAAACGGTTGCCGTCATCGCCGCCGCCGCCACCGCTGCTGCTGCTGCTGAGTTGTTTTGCTTTTGCTTTTGCTTTTCCTCTCT